TTCCCTAGTGTGGTATATGTTTTGCATTATAAAAGTGAACATTTATCTCATCAAAGCTATTGCAGAAATGATCTTAGGTAATTTTACTCAAGAAAAGTTAGCTTGGCTCTTCTCCATAGCCATACTGTTATTCTTTACAGCTAAACCTTGTTGGCCAGTTGGATGTGTGATTTAGCATGTCTGGACAGAAGTCCCTAGGATATCTGGTTTCATTTCTTGTATGGAATTGGTGGAGGCATTTTGTCAGCAGTTAACTTGGTCCTCTTCTCGTCACCCTCCTACCAAAGGGATTTTTTTTTTTTTTTAAGATTTTATTTATTTGAGAGAGAGAGAGAGAGTGCGGGCGGATGAGCATGAGAAGGGGGAGGGTCAGAGGGAGAAGCAGACTCCCTGCTGAGCAGGGAGCCCAATTCGGGACTGAATACCTGGGACTCCAGGATCATGACCCCAGCGGAAGGCAGTTGCTTAACCAACTGAGCCACCCAGGCACCCCAAAGTGATTTTTGAAGGAGGAATGTGATGTGTGGGGAAGGAGTGGGAAGGATAGAAGGTTAGTTTTATCCTTGATGTTAACCTTTTAACTGCTTTCAAAAATTGAGACTTGATTCAGTCAAAGGAACAAAATTCTCTATGTGTTGGACTGTGGCTACTTTAGTATTCATTGTTTTGACTGAGGAACTAATTGCTTTGTGTAGTTCTAGACATACAGTATTCAGTTACACTGAAATCCTGTTGATTTGATAATTCTAGCCTCCTCATCTGGTAGATGGCAACTGGAGTGGAAGTCTGAATTTACTGTAGCCAGCATTATAAAGTAACATCCACTTGGCCAAATACTTTAAAAATGCCATCGTGGGGAAACCACCATATTGAGTGATGGAAAAATTTTGTTCTATTACAAACTTTTTTTTTTTAATTTTATTTTTTATAAGCATATATTTTTATCCCCAGGGGTACAGGTCTGTGAATCGCCAGGTTTACACACTTCACAGCACTCACCATAGCACATACCCTCCCCAATGTCCATAACCCCACCCCCGCTCTCCCAACCCCCCTTCCCCCATCAACCCTGTTTGTTTTGTGAGATTAAGAGTCACTTATGGTTTGTCTCCCTCCCAATCCCATCTCTTACAAACTTTTAATGGTTGTGCCCTCAACAATGTATATGCCTGTGAAAGTGATTGAAAAAATAATGCAAACACTAGCCTTGCCAACTTCCTTAAGCTTGTAGTTCTACAATGTGCGGCTGCAGGTGTTTCCTGTTGATTAGTAAATAGCCTCTGCACAATTTCTGTTTAAAACTCCACTGTTACTAAAAATGGGTGCTTTTGTAATTGCTGCTGCTTGACTGTTCTTAGGGAAACAAGCAGTTCATTGACATGCCAGATAGATTGCAATGGGAAGTTTCTTTAAGCAATCGCAGTAGTCATTCATTATTCCATTTCATTAACAAGCCCTCTCTTCAGTAAGGTAATTTCTATTTTAAAACCCCAAGGCAGCTGGTAATTTAGGTAATGCAGATTTCCTAGCAGGAATCAGAGGGGAAAAAATACTTTAACTTCACTTTATTGGGGCTTGCAGGTCATGAATTTATAAGAGGAAAGGATGGGTAGGAAAATAATTTGTCAAGTTTAAAATGCTAATGTAGTTTGGCTCTGACAGGAGTGCTGGATTGACATCTGAGAAAATGGGTTCCTTTCTTTATTAACTGATTTGTGTGGTGAGTTGCTGAATTGCCTCTGGCTCTGTAGTTTTCCCATCTGTAAAATGAGAGGATTTCTAGTATAATTTCTTCTAACAGGCTACCACCGTTTTAGCAGCCAAGAGATGTGGATGATGGTAAAACAGCAGAGTAGATGAAAAGACCCACTTGGTCTAGTGAATATGTTAACTTCGCATGTTTTTCATCTTGGAAATAATCCAAAAGTACAAATATTTACATTTTATCACTTTAACACAGTTAAGAGCTGGAGATCACAGACATTTTACAGAATGAAACAATAACTTAGATTTTATTTGAAGGAAATGCTATAAAACATACAGGCTTCTAACTTGAAGACCATTTAAAAAATTTAAAGTATTTCTCCCAGACTGCAGAGAATTGTTTATTCTGGTATACAATGTGGAAAACACATACCTACTACCAATTTGGGGGCAAACTATTTTAGAGCTAATGTTTAACACTTTATAACTGCAGTGTTACTGGGTTCTGCTAGAGTTGATTTGGAGCTTGGAGAAAACTGCAACAGTTAGAAAATACTTCTTTTCAAAGTATTGAGAGGGGGGAAAAATACCCTGGGGCCCCTGGGGGGCTCACTTGTTAAGTGTCTGCCTTCCGTTCAGGTCATGATCCTGGGGTTCTGGGATCAAGGCCCGCATCGGGCTCCCTGTTCAGCAGGAAGCCTGCTTCTCCCTCTTCCACTCCCCCTGCTTGTTTTCCCTCTCTCGTTGTCTTTCTGTCAAAATAAATCTTAAAAAAACAAAAAAACAAAAAAAAACCCCAAGAAAATCAATATAATTCCTTTTGAACATGGGAAATAGAACATTAATAGATTGCCAATTATGGTGTCTTCTCCAGCCAGCTTTTATACACAGCTTTGGCCTACCCTCAGTTTTGTACCGTCTTTATCACACAATGTGCCATCTTGTTCCTATATATGAAAAGTCCACCATTTCTATCTACCAGTTACCCAGTATTTTTCTAAGGAAAAAGAAATTCGTATTTATCATACCACTGACTGACTTAATGAAAGCACAAGCTCTCCTCACCCTTCAAAGAAGGTTAAGAATTTTTATGATAACTACTTTCTCTGGAAACATCAGTGACCTAAAGGGTGGGGCAGGCCTATGAATGGTGAATATCAATTCTTGATGGATAACCACTGCATAGTGGTTTAGTAGTTAGAACAGGTGGGGAAAGGAAGGTAACCACTTATTTCCCTAGATTCCATTTATTTCTTGAATGATTTTTAATAGGTAGGTCACATGATTCAAAAATTGAAAATACCCTAAGAAACATGATGGTCTGACCCATGAATGAGTATCCACCCTTCCACCACCACTCTGGTTTTACAGGTAATCCTTGTATCACCTTCTATCGCTATTTATTTTTCTAGTGTTTTCTTTATACAAAATACAAAAAGCAAATAGGACAAGCATCTTTCAGAAGTTGGATGGTTTTCTCTTTGTTTTTATTAGAGCTTGTCTCCAAATGTGAGGACAGGAGCTGTCATTAATGTGGACTGCACTTAACCAGGGAGCAAGAGCAAATTTAAAACTTTTAAAATTTGCAGTAAAATAATTACGAAGGGAACAACATATACCTTCATGTTCACATTCGGTTTTCAGGTTCTGGGAAGGCAGACCTGAAAGTCCAGGATCAAGCGCTAAGACTGGATTTTTAGCAAGGTTCCTAGCTGCCTTGCACAGAGGAGTAAAAGAATCTCCGTAGGCAAAAGACCTTGGTTCAATCTCTCTTTATACTCTTTGATGCTTGGGCAGGCCCATCTCTCAGAATTCGGGGGGACAGATAAGGCTCAGCCAAAAAAAAAAAAAAAAAAAACCCACAAAAAGCTGGCCTTACTAGGTGCCAGTTACTTTGTGTTGTAATAAAATGTTTCTTTGGGCTCCCTCTGAGTCTCCATTACTTACACCTCTGTGTTGCAAAAAGTCCCCTGAGAATGTGATGATTGTACCCCCATAACTTTATCATCCTCTTAATCACTGCTTTGGTCACTCAGCCAATCCCTGATTTGGGCCATCCATCAGTCTTTGCTTCCAGTGCTTTTCAGAAACCTTGGTGTAACAGGCATATGGTCTAACTTTGAGGGAACATTTTAACAGGTATCTACAAATGTAGCAAACAAAACAAAACCCCTACACTGTTGAATCGTTACATGAGAGCCATAGTCCTTCAGAGCTGGTATTTGCAACCTTCTTAATTATGGGAAGTAGACACAGAATGGGTAAAATGACCAGGACTCTATCCTACAACCGAAAGGTTAGGTCGCTACTGTGGTGCACAGGAGAGACGTGGGAGAAACAGAGGTGGGAGGGGACTTGGTTAAATGGATTTGGCAAAAATAAGTCGGTGGTAGCGGCGGCCATGACTCTTCCCCTTTTTTCTAAAGCTCCTATTTCCGAGACAAAGGCAATATAGCCTAATTTAGCATTTCCTGAAATTGCCAGATGCTAAGAATTGTCCAAGAGCACTTGGTATACAGACATTTCCAGGACCCTCCACTGGTATTTGCTAGGTCTACTACAAGATCTGGGAATACGTGTTTTACAATCACAGTGAGCGGTTCTTACAAATTAGGGTGTTCTGATAAAAAAGAGTAGAATTCAGGATACCTTTTTGTGCGGTCCGGGGCTACCACGTAGTATCCCACCCCCCACCGTAAACGACGGTCCTGTTAAAAACCCTGCCCTTGCAATGCAAAAGTAGCTTCTTTTACGAGGAAATGCCCCCTTCCCTCCTTTTCCTTACGTCTTTTAACTGGCACCATCCCTAACCTAGAGCTGGAGTGGCTTTCTCCGGTCCCGGCTACCCGAAGACGGCTGGTTGGGGGCCACGTCTCCGTTCGGCGTCCCTGTGGTGCTCCCGTGCCGCGTTCCCATTGGCTGGAAGTTTCCTCGCCAGTAGCCCGAGCGGCCCTTACTCGCCACGCCAGCCCATCTGGACTCCATCCGCCCAGGGGGCGGGGCGAGATGATGGGGCGGGGCCCCGAGGGCGGGGCGGGGGATGGGGCGGGGCCTCGCGGCGCTGCGGAAGTCCGGGCGGCCTATGGCGCGGGAGGGGGTCCCCGGCCGCGCCCCCACGAGGTTGGGCCGGGCCGGGGCCAATCCCGGGCTACTGGGCGGGCGAACGCGGGGCCTGGCCGGGCGGCCAGAGGGACTGGGGGTGGGGGACAATGGGCTGGTTCCTGGTGCGTCACGGGGGAGTTCCTTAAAGGGGAAGTGAGCGGGGCTACTGGGCGGGTGCGGGGTGCGGTGGTCCGCGGGGGAGGTCCCCCGCGCTTTAAAATAATGCCCGCGGCGCCCGCGCGACCATGCAATGGCGAGCGCTCGTCCTGGGGCTGGTGCTCCTCCGGCTTGGCCTCCATGGAGTGCTGTGGCTCGTCTTCGGGCTGGGGCCCAGCATGGGTTTCTACCAGCGTTTTCCGCTCAGCTTCGGCTTCCAGCGCCTGAGGGCCCCCGACGGCCCCGAGTCGCTTGCCTTGGGGCCCGCCGGCCGACCCGGGCCGCCCGGGGGGCCGTCGGGGCCGTCGTGGCTGCAGCCGCCCGTCCCTGGGGCGGCGGCGGCGGCGGCGGCGGCGGCGGGACGGCGGCGGGCTCCGCGGCGGCCGGAGCCGGGAGTGTGCGGGCCGGCCCACTGGGGCTACGTGCTGGGCGGCCGGGGCCGCGGCCGGGACGAGTACGAGAAGCGCTACAGCGGCGCCTTCCCGCCGCAGCTGCGCGCCCAGATGCGCGACCTGGCGCGGGGCATGTTCGTCTTCGGCTACGACAACTACATGGCGCACGCCTTTCCCCAGGACGAGCTCAACCCCATCCACTGCCGCGGCCGAGGGCCTGACCGCGGGGACCCGTGAGTAGTAGGCGCTGGCCCGACCCCCGGGCCGCGCGCCCCACGCGCTTCCTTCGGTCCTCCGGGTCAGGGTGCAGCCTTCTGACCTCCGGGTCCCCCAAGGGATGCCAAGGCATTTGGGGGCCTGGAGCCACACCTTCCCGCTCAGTGCTTTGGCCCTGACACTCCCCCTGGGGGGTCCCCCTGGGCTTGGGCGGGGGTTGTGGATGGGCCGGTGGCTGTCCTCTTTCTTGATTCTCTCGGGATTTCTGAGTTACAGGACAGCTGTCCAACGCAGTCTCTTTTACAGATGGGGAAACTGAGGCTCAGAGACCGGAAGGGACGGTAGCAGTACCAGGGGTTAGCTTCGGAGGCTTTAGATTCTCATCTTCAACAACCCCTTCTTCAGATGAACATGTATATAATCAAAACGAAATCCCTTGTAAACGCAGCTTTCAAAACAAGCCTTCCATCTCCCTTCCACCCATCCCCATATAAAAATTCAGGAGTTGGTTCCAGGAAAGGACTTCTCCAAAGCCAGCCAGTGATCGGGAGGCAGAGCAGGGTTACAATCTTTGTCCTTCATTTACAGGGGCTGCTACTTAGGCTAAGGGAATTTACAGGAAAGGGGGGCGGGGGGGGGTGGAGATTGAGAGACAGAGGCTATCTAGCTCAGATTTGGGGTCTTGATACTCAGGGTTTGATTCTTTGGCCACTGCATTGCTTGTCACCTTTATCTGTTCCATAAATTCCTCCACTCTGGTGGTTGGACTGTCCAGTAAGGTCAGCCAGTCCTCCCCTCCCACCAGCCTTTGGAGGTTAAGCTTCCAGGGTCACCCCTGTTGACCTCAGAGTCCAAGAGGACAGCATACCCAGCTGAGGACCTTCCAGCTGGAGGGAATGGGTGTGCTTTGCCATGGATCCTGTTAGACCAGATAGGTGACTACCTTCCTCTGGGTGGTGGGAGTGGAGGAGCTGGGCTGCGCATTGCCTTGATCCCACGTTCTGTGGGTGCCTTTGGACTTTTAGGGGGATGTATCTTCCTTCACCTGGTAAAAGGAAGAGTCCAGTCCTTAAATTCTGAAAAGGAAGCCCATATACTAAAGGGGCTTGAAGAATTTTAAAAAATGGTTTGGTTATCTACAGAGTCATATCTCAGATGACAATTTGAGGAGCATCAGTTTTAGTGAAGCGAGGGGCACAGTCCAAGCTATTTCAAAGGACTGGGCCTTTTAAAGATTGTAGGAAACTGATGAGTTACTTTTTTTGTGTTACCTTATCGGGCTTTATGCATATAAACACTTTCTCAGTTTTGTTTTTTTGAGAAAAATTTTTATTAATTTTTGATAAAAATTACTGGAGCCTTTCCAGATATTAGGAAATTAATGAGTTAATTGTTAGTCCTTAAATGTACCAGACTTTATACCTATGTATTTTCTTTGGATCTCATTTTTGTTGTTTGTTGTTGGAGGAAAAAAAAAAAAAGATTAAAATTTGAAAAAATAAAAAAGCCTAAAACCCCGTCAGACAGTTATTTTTAATTTATTTTTCCTGCCAGCTCCCACCCATATGCCTACACATATTTTACATAGTTGAAACCAAGTGTGTGTACATATTTTGGATCTTACTTGTATTTTCCCCCTAATGCTCATGGTATTACAAGGCGGGAGAGGATACTTTGAGTAAGTGCCCTTATTCTCTCTCACAGACTTCTTCAGATTTCCTTTTATGGTGTGGACCTAAGGAAAACAGTTTAATGAGGACTTGTGATAACGCTTTCAGTTGGGAATATCATGGTCAGGAGAGTGAGTTGATGACATTTTGATGCTTTTCTTAATGAACCGTAGAAACCCTTTGGAGAGTTGGAGCCCCTCTCCAGCAAGGTGACGTGGCAGTTGATTAACTTGCTGGTCCCTGTGGTAGTTCCGGGTGGCATAGGCTTTTGTTTCAGGATGAAGTGTGCTGAGGAGTGTCTTGGTTTGATTGTACAATGGCAGTGCAGGTAAACTAAGGTCAGCTTGCTTTGAGACAGCTGAATGGTTGTTGGAAAGATGGGAGTTTGAGCTACTGAGGGGTGGCATTTGGGAGGGGTTGTGCCCAGAGGTTAATAAACCTTTCAGTTGGTAAACCTTTGATGTCTTTGAGGAGGTGAAAGAACTCTGGAGTTATGGTGACCCTGAGTTGACCCTCACACTGGCTGCTTCCAAAAGAGTGGAAAGGTTAATTTTTTTACTCTTCTTTCTTTAGCTTAACTTTTTTCAGACCAGTATTTTCAAGGAAAAGTTTAGAACCAGAGCTTTGTCATTCTGGCTCTGAGACAATAGGATACGTTTACATCCCCAAGATAGATCACTTACAGTAAAAACTTCTCAGATTTTATTTTATTTATTTTTTAAATTTTTTGGGGGGGGTAAAGATTTTATTTACTTAAGGGAGAGCAAGAGTGAGAGTGAGAGAGCACAGAAGGAGAAGGAGCTGAGCAGGGTGCCTGACGTGGGTTCCATCTCATGACCCCGAGATCATGACCTGAGCTGAAGGCAGACGCTTAACCGACTGAGCCACCCAAGTGCCCCCAGATTTTTCAGATTTAAAAAAAATCAAATGTATTCTAATGATAGTTCTCAAGTTTATTCTAATGATATATTTAAAATACAGAGTGACATAACCATTAGAATATTATGTAGGAAGTACAGAAACAAACCATGGGGGTTCTACCTGTGTCTCTTTTCTTTTTAGTCACATGTGCTTGAGGCTTGTCTTGCCTGTCTTCTTTGACTGTAGTGTGAGGAGTTACCGTGAAGTTACCGTGAAGTAAATGAAACCTGAACACTTTAAAATAGCAAATCTTTTGGCCCAGTTATAGATTACTTTGCAAAGTCAGTTACTCTCATATCCCCAATTTGGGTTGGAGGGTCCAAGTTTCTTCAAATAAATTTGGATATTCTATTTTTTGTAATCTTGTGAATGCTAACAGTAGTTCAGGCCTTGGGCACGTGATCCTTCTTTGCTTCCTCCCCAGCCATATTGCTGTTCAAGTAAAAAAGCAAATCTGTGCACAGCCCCAACTGATATTGGCCCCCAAACTGACCCATTCCTGGGCACCCCTAGCATAAGATGGCTTCCTGTGCATTCTTCCTTCTTTATAAACTCCTGTCCTACTTCAGAGTCAGACCTAAGTCGTTTTCTGTGATGCCATTGAACTTTTGAAGACTATTTTTCTCGCTTTACACTTGGTTCTCCTTTCAGTTCCTTTCTTTGGTTCTTTGGGCTGCTGTTCCACATTTCAACATCACTTGAGAACTGAGTGCTGTTGTATATTCACCTTCCTTTCCCTTTGTCGTGTCTCCCCAGATTATCAATCCCTCGACACAGAGACCGTTTCTTTTATTATCTCTGTGCCTACCCAGCACTAGGTAGATTTCTGAACAGCTGGTACAGGTTAAGTATATGTGGGAGACTGTTTTTTTTTTTAACCATATGTTTGATTTTCTTAGTTACATAAGAAAAAATTGCCCGTCAAAGGTTGTAGTTTCTTCCACCTCTGTTTTGGAGTGATACGAACCTTACAAATGCACACTGGGGTGAATGTCATGAACAGTCACACATGGTAAAATTAAGTGGAGAGTTTAATTCTGGGTCATCGTAGTTCCGCCAGCTGGTGATGTGAAAGATGTGTACTTGTGGGCATATCCTTATACTGAAAGATTGAGTTCTTGGCTTGAGGCACTTAGCAGGTAAGTCAGGCTAGCCATGGATCAGGAGTATCTCCAGAGAACAAGGCCACAGTCGTACACCCGCATTGTGGGCTGGCATAAATGGAATCACAGTAAAATGGTGCTGTTAGGCCAAGAGGGTTTTATGGAATCTGCATTTCCCTTCACACCCTCTTTTTTTTCTTCTTTCTATTTTGGTACATTTTGAAAGACTGTATAGCAATTACTTGGTAGAAAATAATTAAAAGTGCTTTAATGCGCACCTTAGATTTTTCAGGGGATTTGTCTTGAGTGGAGAGAAGGCCCCACCCACTTATTCCAAATTTTTTTTTTTTTTTTTTTTTTAACCGTAGCATTGCATGTAACTGTTCATTGTGAGTGACTGCTTGGACACTGTATCAAGAGGTATTGTAAAATTGGGTCCTTTTTAGTTATAGCCTGCAGGAAAAGTACTATACATCATGTGAAGGAGTACAGCGATCAAAAGTCATACTACCTTCCATGGGCCTGTGCAGATGGAGAGGGTGACCTTGGCCCAGACGAGGTTACAGCTCAGGAGAGGGCAGTTGGGGTATTTTACACATCGTCCAGCTTGGATGCTAAGTGGCAAGATAGCCATTTTCTAATGAGGTGGGTCGTGGGAACCACTCATTGTTTCTGAGCCACAGAGCAAAGCAGTTAAATATATAAACCCAACAGAATATTCTAGAGTTGGCAGAATCGAGCAGGAGGAGCTCCCTGTCTACTCTGACCTTCTCCAACTTTCGGCATTTCCTGTATCCTTTCTGGCTGGCACTGCCCTTGAAGTGCTTATTTTAACCCCCAGCTCTCCTCTTTAGGGGACCTTTTGCAATTATATAACTCCATTTAGGAAGAATCTACACATAGAAGAAGCCGGTGCAGTTTTCAGCCGTGCAGTGTGTTGGCCTGATGGCTTGTGAGGGGCGAGATAATCCTGGTTCCCAGATAGCCCCCTCTCTATAGCTTGTTTCAAACAATGTATCTACCTTAGCTCTGAGTTCTTTGTCCTAGATTCAGTGGGGTACCATAGCACACAACAAAGCAACAGGAAGGCTCCTGTACGAACAGCTGTGACATGTGGCCGTCGGTTCACCGGGCCCAGGCACATGGGAGGGTGCACTTTCAGAGAGCAGAGCAGGCCATCCAGAACAGAGGGAGGGAGACCAGGCCCCATTCGAGTGACTCAAGGACTAGCTACCGTGGTCTGGGACTGTGCTGGGAGGTGCCATAATTTCAGCGAATCTGCTGTTGAAGATAGAGCTAGGGCTTTTCACTTTGGTCTTCAATAAAAGTAAACAGGTGTCCTATTTCTTTCCTTACTTACATCTTTTCAGGCTTTTGCCATTTCCTTCCTGGTCTTGTGGGAATGAGACAGTGGAATAACTGAAGTCCCGGGGATTTGTCAAGCTGCATGATGTCTCTATCCCCACCCTTCCCCGACCTATTTCTCATCCTCGTCATTGTTTTTTAGCATTATGAGGAGTTGTCTGAGTGACTGGGGAGCTTTACCCTCACTGTAGGCCTGAAGTTGGAGGCTTAAGATTGCTTCAGAAAGGGGAATCGGTGTGGACTGTGGGGGCAGGAGGTATGGGCAGAAATGTGCGTGTAGCTCCAGTGCAGAGAAGTCCTGTCTTGGCTCAGCTCCTCAGAGTTGGTAGAGGTGATGGGGATTCTTGGATTGAGATGTGAATGAGAAAATGAGATCAAGAGGTTATTATACTCCCCCAGCCAAAGCACAGGGGAGTGGTAATCAGGCCATCATGGAAGGTATTTGGTTCTTTTTGTGTGGAACCTGCTGGAGGAGCTGGTTTCTGTATTAAAGTGTCGGGGTGGGGGCGTGCATCTGGGTGGCTCAGTCGGTTAAGTGTCTGCCTTTGGCTCTGGTCATGATCTCAGGGTCCTGAGATCGAGTACTGCTTAGTGGAGAGCCTGCTTCTCCCTCTCACCCTACCCCCTGCTCGTGCACGCTCTCTCAAACAAATAAATAAGTAAAATCTTAAAAAATAAAATAAAAGGTCGTGGGCAGGTCACATGACAGGGTTTTTCTTTTTTCATTCCTAATAAGTTTGAAATAAGATCTCTTTGAAACTGGCCAGGGAGGTGACTTGTGGTGATAAAACGGTATGTCAGGGAGGGCACATGACTCTGGTTCACCATCTCCTGACTTCCTGTTGCATGTTCTTCCCACAATAGCATCATCAGTGTGTCTCTGTTGTTGTGTGACTTGAGTCTGTTTGCAGACGCTCTAGAAATGGTCACTTAGGAGATAGTGATAGTGGCAGATAGGACCACTGCCATACTCACCCACATATAATTGTCCCCGAATCAATAAGAGTCCAACAGTTTTAGTTTCTGATGGGTGTTTAATTTTATTGTCCCTTTTCTCATTTGAAATAAAGCACCTTTCTTTAATTGTATTTCTTTTTCAGTTCAAATCTGAACATCAATGATGTCCTGGGGAATTACTCATTGACTCTTGTGGATGCACTGGATACACTTGCAGTAAGTCTTTAGCCTTATTTTTTTTTCTCACTAATTAAGATATTTTGGAGTTGATTATCTCTAGTTCCCACCAGGGATGGGAATTCCAAGAAACCTGGTACTCAAAATGTATTCATAACTTTGATAGCCATTGTTTATTTTAATGACCTTAATGGTGAGGGCGAGAAAGGCATTCAAGGTCAAAGGAGTGGAGATGTGATTCCCCTAAAAAAAGTGGAGAAGAAAGTATGATTTTTGGGGGGAGCCTATGTTTCTCCCAGTTTCCCACTAATTTATTCCATAAAGGAATCAGTAGAGCATTCCATTCAAGTTGACAGCTACTGTAGTTAAGATCTGAGAAGTAAAAGACAAGCTCCATGTCAGTGGGTCCTTGGAATAGCATCTGACTAGTGCTCCCCAAGAGTGTGTCCGAGCCCTGGTCCCGGCCCCCACGCAGGGCCTTCTCTAGAAACACTCCTTTCTGCATGCCGCTCTGTGTTTTGTCCACACTGCCAATTCGGGTGCTGCCTTTCCCCCCAGCGACCTGTGGTTTCCCTTGTGAAGGCTGGGGAGCTGGAGACCTCAGGACAGCCATGAAGGACCGAGTGTGGCATGGTACTTACCATCACACTGTGCGTGCCCTGTGCACCATCTGCCCCTTGCACTGTGCTTCCAAGGGACTGTATTTCAGCATAGCCTGTTAAATCCTCCTTCGTGAGGGTGACCGCACAACCTCTTTGCTCCGCTTCATTGTCCAGCACGCCTTTACCATGAGAGAATTCTTCCCGTAGTTGAGCCCGAATCCTGTATTTAATAACGTACCCTTGTCTGTTTTAACTTCCCCGAGAAAAGCTTAGAGCTGTCAGGGTTGCAGGCAGGTAGTGCTAGCTAAGTCAGTTTTAGAGCTGCCCTGGAGTTTGCTGGCGGAAGACTCACGAGGCCTTGGAAGGAGCTTGAGCGACCGATCTCCCTATGCGCTCTTGGCCCAGGTCTGCGGGGCCTCTGGGCTTTCATTTGGCCAGCCTGTGGTTGCACAGCGTTTTAGTGGCCCAGTTGCTCTTTCTGTAGTTCTTGCTGCCCCACTTCAGTCATTTGTCATCGGCGATCACAATGTGCCCAGGCAAGTCTGCTCAGCCTAATTAGAGTTAACTTGTTGAAGATCCCAGAGGCTGACTCAGCCTTATATGTGTTACTTAAACAGTCTTCTGGAACTCATATACATTATGAAGGAGCACCTCTCATCCGTGACCTCTGTTTCTGGCCCTCATTGTGTCTTTTTATCTCTCCGCCATGCTCATTAAGTACAGAGACCTCATCTCTATTATTCCCTGCACTCTCCACCTAATGGTGTCTGATGTATAGTAGGAGTGCAAATATGTGTTCAGAAAATGAATTTCTACAAATTCAACACTTCCCAACAACATTTCCAAGGGTATAGCCCCTAAAAGAAGAATTCTATTCCCAAACAAACCTTGAGAAGTTCTGTATGCCTCTCCCATTATTGGAGAGCTACAATGTACACCAGCATTTTAAAGGCTCTGAGAAGTCCTGCAATAAAGAAACCGATTTAACTCTTTTGTTCAGTCCATGTTTTCTTAAGCCTGAGCAAATGATTTCACAACCTGCTTGCTCTGTCTGTAGCTGTGTGACTATAGTGGGAAATTAGAATATGTAATTGAAAATTGCTGGCTTCCTTGACCATCCTCCACTTGATCTGAGATCATATCAGCCTCTGCAGCTGCTAACAGATATTGTTGCTGGTGAGCATCTGTAAGGAAACAAAGCCATTTTTTGTGGTTTTCATTGTAGAATATCCGGTCTTCAGTGTGCTAGCACTTCAGGCTTATTTTTCAGGTGTTACCTCAGTTGAGGTTTTCTTGTTCTCTTGCTAACATTTTAAACAGGCTCTAACAGATGTGCTATGGAAACATTCAGAAGATAGCAGTCCCCTGACCATTGGCGGCAACGTGTAGCACTATTACATAATCTTTTAAAAAGAAAGAAGTAAAGGCCAGGAAAGAAACGTCTGTAGTTGCTCTGCATGTTTATGGCAAAATAACAATGAAGAGAGGGATGAAATTATGGGCCAGACCAAGAAATACCAAGAAATAAGGCACACTTGAAAGAAATAGTGTCTGCTTGAAATTATTTGCTTTTCCTTTGTGTGTATCATTATGATGTCCTTAAAGTCCCCGGATCGTCCTAAATTTTTGAACAGAATGAAAGCATTCTGGTTCAGTTAATCTGTAAAATTTTGTTCCCAATTTGCACTTCATATTGGAGAGAGTGGCTTAGTATGAGATCATATTTATGTACCCAAAATAGGAATCATAATTTTAGATCAGTCTTTAAAAAGGACATGGAGCTGATTATTTGTATGTTTTATTTGTTTTGAATGCCACTGGTTTTATGCTGCGCTTCAAGAGATAATGCTACTGTTTCTCAAAGTGTTTAGACATCTGGATAACCAGCAACAAGTGGTTTTCCAGATGTTTTGGTCTCCTGGGAGCCAAGCACCCAAGCTGTCGATTTATTTGAGGAGCATAGGGGAAGTTATATTTTTGTTTCTTCGGTTTTTGGATTTATTTTTACTCTTTTCAAGAGATTTAGGAACTCCAGTGCCTTGCATCCTAAATCAGATCAGACTGAAGTTTGAGGGAGAGTCTAGTGGGAAGGTGAGGGATACTAATGATTCATGAGGAATATTTCACAGTTTGACTATTTGGAGATAGGAGTCTTGAGTTGCAGGAAATGGGCTTGCCATCTGTCCTGGAATATATTCTAAGAGATAACTGTGCTTTTCTAACTTTTGTGTTTCTGCTCCTCCCAAGGGTGGCAAAACCGTGTACAGACATTTAGATAGTGGTCCCTCTGTGTCATTTCAAGCTGTTGTAATGGTTTGTGTTCCTCTTTTTGAAGATAATGGGAAATTCATCTGAGTTCCAGAAAGCAGTCAAGTTAGTGATCGACACAGTTTCATTTGACAAAGATTCCACCGTCCAAGTCTTTGAGGCCACAATCAGGTAAAATAGTACATGAAATGGATTGAAGGCTTCTTTTGTGTGTGAGCAGCAAAATTCCTGTGAGGTTTTCCCAGCTGTGAGAGCCAGGTAGAGAGTCCATGGGGGACCTTATGGGTGCTGTGTCCATTTTTCCTCTCCCTTTTGGGCTTTATTAACAGTGGAACAATGGACATTTCAAAGTAATCACATTGGGGGCTGAAAAAAAAGACTCAAGTGTTAATGAGGTGGGAGACGGGTGTCCTTTTAAGGCAGATTTTCACTGTCACTTGGTGTCGGGTCTCATTTCCTTCCTGTGTCCTAGGAAAACCCCTACACATTTCTGAAGGAAATGAGAGTTTCCCATCTTACCTACCACCCACAGAAGACCACTGCTTATCATTCGGGTGTATTTCCCCCTCGTGTGCCACTCTCTCTTCTCTCCACCCCCGCCTCCCCCCAACCGCCCGCCGTCTTCTCTGTCCACCGCCCCTCTCCCCACCATTCCCCACTGAGGTATTGGGCATGTGTTCCATACTCAGTTTTGTATCTTGCCTTTCTGGGTTGATATATTGTTGATATATTAAAATTTACTATTTAGACTTTTTGAAAATTGTGTTATTACATACCATTCCAGATGTATCATTTATTTGAAATTAAAGTTATGAAAACATTTGTACTGACAAACATCACAGTCAGCTTGCGATCATTGGAGTGGTGCATGATTCCTGGCTCTGTAGGGACATGGCTCTAGAGCTGGTGACCTTCTGCCTCGGAGCGGGTCTTTCCCTCCTCCTCGCTTTCTCCTTTTCCACACCTTGCCTCCTCACCAGAGTGGAGAATTTCTCAGCTGTTTGGCAACCTGAACTAGGGAAGCTACTTAGTATTTGTTGTCTTTCCCTTTCCCGTTTCCGATATGGTGAAGTGTTTTCCCCGTGTGAGAGAAACCGAGAGTCATTTATTAATACTGAAAGGTAATGCTTATTCTGAGAATGGTTAGTACCCTCCCGTCCGATGAGATGATTGAGACTACTGGTCATTGGTTATTACTTTAAGTGAGATTATTCTTGGTGGCCTCAGGTGAAGGGTCCCTCCCCCCCCACCCGCTTCAGTAATGTGGTTACTCAAGAATTGGTTATTTATCAGGGCTGGAAGGAACTTCAAGAAGCCATTGAGTTTAGTCTGTCTGATTCCAGGCAGCTGTGAGTTCAAGGGATTTGAGGCCGCTGCTTGCAGTGTGAACTGGATTGTATGCGTTGATAGGCAGCGTGATTGTATTGTTTTTGTGTTCTTGTCATCCTGTCTTTTAGGGTCCTAGGAAGCCTCCTTTCTGCCCACAGAATAATAACTGACTCCAAGCAGCCCTTTGGTGACATGACAATTAAGGATTATGATAACGAATTACTGCACATGGCCCATGACCTGGCTGTGCGCCTCCTGCCGGCCTTTGAGAACACCAAGACAGGGATCCCCTATCCTCGGGTAGGTAGACTAGTTGGACATCTCAGCATCTTCCTGAATTAAAATTCTTTTTTGATTAAGTTATTTGGGGGGAGGGGGGAGTGATGTGAAAGAGGAAAGCTGTGTCCTTGAGAGTGTCCCTAAATGTGATGTGTATGTTTTTTTAATTCATTCAACATTTACCAAGCACCTACTGAGTGCCAAGCATAAGGCTGACATACCTGATTCTTCCCTTTAAGGAACTTATGTTCCTGTGCTCAGTATTCTGAAGTTCTTCTGCATGTGCCATTTATATCCTCTGCTACCAAATAGGATGGGGAATTTGTCTTATTTCTGACTCGAGTACCTTCCCCCAGAGACCCTCATATGTGTACTGTCGGATCCTGGCGAATGTTCCTGGGTGTGCTTCACATGGATCTTTCAAATAAAAGCCTGCCCAGCCCAACCAGTGAGCTGCTGATTTAAATGCAAGATTTGGAATGCAATTATATCTTTGTGGCTTCAGATTTGCTGAGCTCAGAACTCCCTTGGGAATTGAGTCAGCCTTTTAGGTAACCAGCAGAGAGTTGCCAGCCCACAGAGCCTCAGTGATGAAACCGGCTGTCACCTTCTTCCTGTCTCCCTTGTCTGCCAGTCTGTGATTTGTTTATGTTCACTGAGCAGAGTTGAGTTCCTAGTAGCTCACTTAAAATTGATAGGGGAATTCCACAGCTGGCCTTTGTTTCTGATGCCAGAGCCTGGTGCTGGAACGAAGTGGGTTAGTGCATGGTATTGTAACCATTCCCCTAAGACTTGCTCTTATTAAAAGAAGGCTGTGGTGTTCTAATTGTCTTGTGTCTTTGAAGCTTAACTCCCATGTCTATCTCAGGTGTGACATGGAAGGCGGTGAGCTGAGTCACTCTGCAGTAAGTTTGGTTTAGTAGTTGAGGCTAGTGGCTGTGACTTGGCCTTCTAGCCCTGAGGGTTCCTCACAAGTCTTGCCCCAAATCCTTTGTCTCTTCCTGTCCCCAGGTGAATCTAAAGACAGGTGTTCCTCCTGACAGCAATAATGAAACGTGTACAGCGGGCGCCGGTTCCCTTCTGGTGGAATTTGGGATTCTGAGCCGACTCCTGGGGGATTCTACATTTGAGTGGGTGGCCAGACGTGCTGTGAAAGCCCTTTGGAACCTGCGGAGCAATGATACAGGATTATTAGGTGTGGTGGCACCTTCTCAGGCCATTGGGACTGGGTACATCTGGCCCCCTTTCCTTTCCTCTTCTCTGGGGCTCTCCCCACTCTCCACTCCTTCTGTCTGTGCCTCTGAACCTGACAGTGGACACCTCAGAGAGAATGGCCCCTCATGTCTGCCATGTCCAATTTCTCTGTAGGACTTTCTCCTTAGAGTGAGGCTGTAATGTTTGATGGGAAAGAATAATGTTTTTGCTGTTTGAGGGTTCCCTTCTGATTTGAATCCCTGGGCATGTTCCACTTGAAAATAATTGTTAATGGAAATGCTATAAAAAGAATTGCCTCTGAAGCAGATTATATTGTTTCAATATAAGGCTCTAAATATAGGCATTTGGAGTTACTGGTAGAGTGGCTTTTTCCTTTAAAAAAGTCTAGGCATGTGGTGGTAGGTTGAAAGGCCGGATTAACCCTATATCAGGTGGGATTTTTTTTTTCCTCTTGAGAATGTTTGGTCAGGATGTTATTAAAAATTATTATGCAACATTTCAAATCTGCAGAAGTAGGGAGAAAGTATAATGAATAATGATTCCCTGTGTACTCATCATCCATCTTTAATAAGTACTAGGTTTTTGCTCACTTAAGATACTATTTTAAATTGTCTTACACTGAGAAAAATTAAAAAAAAATTTTTTTTAAATTTATTCAGTTGAGAGAGAGCAAGAACATGAGCAAGGGGGAGGGGCAGAGGGAGAGGGAGAAGCAGACTCCCTGTTGAGAAGGGAGCCCGATGTGGGGCTCCATCCCAGGACCCCAGGATCATGACCTGAACCAAAGGCAGATGCTTAACCAACTGAGCCACCCAGGTGCTCCTAGAAAACTTTTTGTTGTTGTTGAAAAGTACCTTGATTAGTTGTCCTAGAGTATCATTGCTTTTTAAAAGTAATTTTTTTTTTTTTTTTTTAAGTAAACTCTGTGCCCAGCCTGTGGCTTGAACCTGAGCTCAAGAGTCGCACACTCTACTGACCGAGCCAGTCAGGCGTCAATAATGTGATTTTTGGTTATTCGTTAAGTTATTAAATGTATGTACATATTTGTTGTGTTTAGCAGCAATGGTAAAAATAAACAAGTTGCTCAAATTGCCACTCCACCACCAAATGGTTTGCCAGTATCACCATAAATTATTACCTTTTAAATTTCCCATTGGCCCTTTCGGTCTGCATGTGCAATGTTTATATACTTTCAACTTATAAATAAGCATTTTTATTCTGCCTTACATTAGGCAGTTCAGGTTTTTCAAGTTGTTACCTTGTTTTCATAGCTACCATCTTTAAAATCTACATAGAGTCCATTAATTAACTCTTCTAGCGTTGGATACTTGGATTATTTCTCTCTCCCTCCCCTATTTTACAGATAATATAAATCATATAGTTCATAATTCTTGATGAATGACACAATACTTTTTCTTAAAAAACACTTTTTTCATTAAGGATAAGTTGCCAGGAATGGCATTACAAAGTCAAAGGTTTGAACACTCCTTTGGCATTTGAAATGCACTGTTAATCTGGAAAGGCAAAATGACAAATTTACTTTTCTCTTGCCTCAAGTGTTTTCCCCAGTTTTGTTCCCAGTGTTTAAACACCGTGTATTGAGAAAGATTTCCTGGCTGTCTGCCGCTGATGGGACTGATAATAATGTGAGGGCCAGACGTTCATTCCTTCTTTTCTGCCAAGGCCCAGACGTTCATTCTTTCTTTTCTGCCAAGGCCCAGGGTGCGGGTTGAGCGGTGGGGCCAGACTTGAGGGCACCCTGGAGGAGGAGCTGTCCCCAGACACCTGGGGCCCCACGGGCTTTGTTTGTTTTTGCAGGCAATGTGGTGAACATTCAGACGGGCCGCTGGGTTGGAAAGCAGAGCGGCTTGGGCGCTGGCCTGGACTCCTTCTATGAATACCTCTTGAAATCTTACATTCTCTTTGGAGAAAAGGAAGACCTCGAGATGTTTAATGCTGCGTACAGGAGTATTCAGAACTACTTAAGAAGAGGGTGTGTCTCCTCTCTTGCCCCGTAAAACAAGTAGGGTGTGTTCTCAGCCTGAATCCACAGCGTCTTGTGGTGTCTGCACTCATCTTCCCACTTCCTAGTTCTAGGGCAGATACTTGGGGGTGAAGAGCTGTATTAGCCTTCTACTGCAGCATAGCAAATTACCCCAGCACTTAATGGCTTAAGACAACAAACAGTATCTCCCATAGTTTCTGAAGGTCAGGAAGCCAGGAGCCGCTGAGTGAACCTAGGGTCTCACAAGGGTGTCACCAGGCTATTGGCAGGGTCTACAGCCGTGTCAAGGCTTGGTTGGGGCCAGAGGACCCACTTCTTGGCTCACTCCTGTGGTGGTCGGCAGGCTTCAGTTGCTTGCCATGTGGCCATCTTTGTAGGCAAGTCATGGTAGCTGGCTTCCCCCAGAGTGACTGATACAAGAGGGATAGAAAGAGAGGCCAAAAGGGTGCTTTCATGACTGAAGTGTGGATTGACAAACCAACACTTCTGCCCAGGTCTGCAGGTCCCACACACGGGCTGTGGTACAGTGTGGGAGTGGGCTGTACGTGTCACGCCCTCTGTGACTGCCCAGAGTCCAGGATCTCTGGCGGCCATGGGGGAGACTGGCTGCCATGAGGAGTGACATGTGCCTGTGTTCCACTGTGGCTTTAATGGCAGATAGAGCTGTAATACAGGACCATTACTGAGATTATTTTGGTTCTTTTACTTGCCAAAGAATTGTTTGGATTGGTCTTTATACCTAATGAGAGAAAGGACAATTACCACATCTCCCCCCCACCCCCATTGTTTAAAAGAGCATAATTTGCTACTACCCAGTTGTACAATCAGGAGGGCAGGAGAGAAGTGCCATTGAAAGCTACAGTGGCTTCTAACCCTGATGTCCCCTCATTTCCTTAGGTCTTTCTTTGTATGCTTTTGTATATTAAATATCTAATGTAGGTGGTAGCTACCGAGTTTCTGCTTGTTGGGATTTTCTTAGACCCATTTCTAGGTTAGCTGTTGTAGTAGGAACCCCTTTTGTGAGTGCTGTGTTTCAGTAAGAGGCCGTTTGGCCGGAGTTCAGTCATTTTTGCTTTTTATTTATTTATTTATTTTTAAGATTTATTTATTTATTTGACAGAGAGAGAGAGCTCAAGCATGGGAAGTGGCAGAGTGAGAGGGAGAAGCTGAGCAAGGAGCCCAGTGTGGGGCTGGATCCCAGGACCCCGGGATCATGACCCGAGCCAAAGGCAGACCCTTAACTGACTGAGCCATCCAGGCACCCCCATTTTTGCTTTTTAAAGTTCCAACCTATAATCCCCAAGCTTCTTGATGGATTCCTTCAGGCCCCTGGTGTAGAACCTTATTAGAGAAGAGACTCCTTTTTTTTTTTTTTTAAATGTAGAAGTAACAAGGATTTTCCACTCAGGTCAAATCCAGCAAAGACTCTGCTAGATACCCATATTCTCTTTTACCTTATGCTAGAGTCTGGTGTCCACAGGTAGAGGCAGTTTTTCTTCAAAGGTTGAAAAGAATGAGTCAGGAGAAAATGTTCATGTTGATGCCACTGAGGTTAAAGCAGCAGGGGCTGCGGGAGGAGTAGGGCTGGAGGGCTGTCAGTGAGCTTCCTCCTCACCTCTGCCTGCTCTGCTTGGCCCGTTAGCCGGGAAGCCTGTAACGAAGGAGAAGGAGACCCGCCGCTGTATGTGAATGTGAACATGTTCAGCGGGCAGCTGATGAACACTTGGATCGACTCTCTGCAGGCCTTCTTCCCCGGACTGCAGGTACTCAGCACCCGTGTTTGCTGGGAGAACGCGGTCATTGCCAAGGGTTTCTGTGGTTATGTTCTGTTATGATACCAGAGCGTTCCCTGGCTTGTCCGGATTTGGGAGGGTAGCCACGCAGTATGTCTTGATTATTCTCTTTGTGAGATGAGTCCTCCCGATCTTGAACAGAGCCAGACTAAATAAGTGCAAAACCGAGGCTGAAAGTAACCGTACGTGATTTTTGGATCATCTGTCTCTTATTGTTTATTCTTTGCTCCCAAGTACAGTTAACGTCTTGTCCTATGCAGTTTGCACAGGTTTGGCATGGATGGTCTGTTAGGGAGGGCATCCTTTTTTCTGGGTTGCTACTTTTGGGTTGGTTTTGTCTCCAGCCAGGTCGGATAAGAACTGGGGGACAGAGGGAGAGCCCAGGGCCTTTGTGTCACGTGTTGCCACTTGAGAAAAGCGTCTTCTCCTTAGGTTCTGATAGGAGATGTGGAAGATGCCATCTGCCTCCATGCCTTTTACTATGCCATCTGGAAACGCTACGGGGCCCTCCCTGAGAGGTACAACTGGCAGCTCCAGGCCCCCGACGTGCTCTTCTACCCGCTGAGACCCGAGTTAGTGGAGTCCACGTATCTTCTCTACCAGGTACTGGATTCTGTGTTTAAATGCCAGCAGGACCTGTAGCGGTTGGTGTTTAGCGGACACTGGCCGATGGGTATAGAACTGGGCGGTTTCCTAGTGACTCCAATACGGGGGCTGCCTAACCGTAGGCTGGTTGGTACTGAGTGTGATTCCTGGGTCCACAGGACAGAGAAGTGTCTGCGGTCACACACGGAGTTGTTGAACCTTACGTTCTGCAAAGCCCATTCTGCCTGGACCATAGGCCTTTCTCTCACACCCTTAAACATGAAAGAAGACTTAGTACTCCATGTTTTCTAGATTTATTTGGCTAAAGAACTTTTTTTTGAGATATGGCTCTCTCCTCATGCCCTGTGGAACCCTGATCTGTGTAATCATTATTCAGACCAAAGGAATTCCTTTTCTGGGTAAAGGAAATCATCTGGGATTCATCTGAATATCTGTTTTTGTTTAACGCCTTAAAAAAATGTATAGTGTTAATTTTTGCATGGAATATAATGCCAGAGGGATTGCCGCTCTAGCTGTAAAGCCTCCCCCGCCGTCGAAGGTAGATATTTGTGCCTCTGGGTGTGCCATCCATTCACACAGAGAGCCTGCGCCCGTTCACAGATACAGCAGCTTTGTGCAAAGCTGGCCTTCAGTGCACCTCGGTAGACCTGAGACAGACCTGAAGGGGGCCGGCCCGCACAAGAAGATGCTCATTGTTAGGCGTCCTCATAGTAGGCTTAGTATTGTGGTTTTGATTTAGTAAAGAAAAAATTGACAGTGAATCATGCCATTTGCTTCTAGATGAAAAAGGGAGAAATCCCACGAAATGGGTCCTAGGCCTCACGTGTAAAGAGAGACCTCCTGAATTTGAGATAACCTCTCGGAAGAGGGCACGGATAGCCTCCGACTTTGCTTCTTTGAGCTGGGTGGATAGCCCGGCTCTGTGCTCCGGGGACGCCATGGCTGGTGCTGCCTGAGCCCTCCTCTTAAGCTTAAGTCTGTTGCCTTTGCGTTTGTACCTTTTCATTTCTGTCACTTCTTCTTTCTATTTTCAGCTTCTTCCTCCCACTGACTATTTTCGTAGAAGTGGGAGAACCCTTGGGCTTCCCATCTCCGCCTTCGGATGCCACGCCCTGTGCTCTCTGCCCACACAGCCCGCTAGCCTCAGACGCAGGAGCTGGCATTTGCTGCTGCAGGCGGGCACTAGGTGGGAATTCAGGATGACCCCCAGCTTTTAAACTGTTGGTGGGGTACCGGTCTCGTCTTCTCAGAGAATTGGTGTCCTAGTGAAACCATGCAAGAGCATGTGACAGCTGAGTAAGCAACCCTAAGGACTGAGTTCGTAGGGCAGTTGGAGAGCAAAGTGTGGGGGCCTCCTGTTTGAAAATCTTCCTGTTCCTCTTCGCTTTTCCTCAAAAGGCTGTAAGTGGAATGGGGGCCAAGTCCTGCATCCTTGGGTCTGCATCTTGAGTTTATAGAGAGTTCTGAGGCAAGAGAGAAACGAGATTTGTTCTCACATGTGGTACCATCAGTGAGGCCTTATTTCATTTTGGATCATGGCGGGGATCAAGAGAGCCAGAGCACAATGTTGTTCTACCCCGGAGGGGATTGTCTCAGCCCTGGGCATGGTTAAACAGGTGGTACAGGTACTTTGACAGGAACCGACAGAACACCATTGTTCTTTACCATTTGTGACCCTTCAAGGTAACGTGAGCTGGGCGTTGTGCCTGCCTTTGGCCAGTGACTCACCTCCTTGAGAGAGTCCTGCAGTCACCGTGATGTTTGTTGATGGCATGTTTTCCAGGCACTGCTGGATCACATTCTCTCATGTTCTCTCTAGGCAACCAAGAATCCCTTCTACCTCCATGTAGGAATGGATATTCTGCAGAGTCTGGAAAAGTACACAAAAGTCAAGTTAGTTTTCTAAGTTCCTTCCTTTTTCTGTTGGCCACTTTTGATTTATTTTCAGTTGTTCCGGGGAAGTACTCTATTTTGCACTTTAATTTATAGAACAGATCATTAATGTTAATTCTGTAGGGAAATTGCTTACTTTTTGTGTAGCAGGACTGGTCCGTTACAGTGGGAATTGCCTTTTTTTTCACCTTTTTTTTCTCTAAGGTTCCAGCAGACTGTGTATGTCCTTTTTAAGTAACTTATTCTTCCTAGTTGTACAAATAATACATGTACTAGAAAGTTTAGGGAGTACAGAAGAAGTATGGAGGTAGAGTATTATCATTGTAATCTCCATGTGTAGAGAGCCACAATCAGTAGTCAACATTTAAGTTTATATACTTATGATCATTTTCATATATTTTTATATATAATATGTGTTTATACATATGTATTTCAATTTTGTGACTTTTTTTCGCCTAGCAGTATATCTTTTTTTCTTACAAAATAGTATTTTAGGCTAGCCAATGTTAAGTCAATTCTACAGATATTAGGACAGAAAATTTCAATTAGTTCTGAATTTGTTGCCAATCATTTTCTTGGTGTCATGTTAAGTACTTGGCAAATATCCTCCACCAGTGCCCCCTTCTTTCCCGTATAATTAACCTGTTGATGTAGCAGCAAACCACTTTTTCATAAATTTGCCAGTAGTCTAGGCTGAAAAAGGATAGCTCTTAAAACTAACCTAATTTGTTTTTCATATAGCATTTGATAATTTGGTGATTATTCTATTAATAGACTATTTCCACTTCTTAAATTAGTAAGCAGATAGGAAGGAGCAGAGACAGGAATAACTGGAAACTTGTTTTATAGGTGTGGTTATGCAACGTTGCATCACGTCATAGACAAATCCAAAGAGGACCGGATGGAGAGCTTCTTTCTCAGTGAGACGTGTAAATACTTGTATCTGGTATGTGTGTTCGAAGGTTAACCCAAGAAACGTTTATTAGTGCTCGGAGCATGCATTCATTTGGTCTTCCACATAGTATGTATTCACCAGGCACGGCTCTGTGCTGGACATGTGCTGGCCCAGGGACACAGTACTCTCAAAACAAGAGCGCAGTGCTCTCGTCTGCGGTGGTTTCTAACATTGTTGGGAGGCATTGACAAGTAAACAAAGGAACTTCGGATTACAACTGGTATGAAGCCCTGGTCACGGTTCCTAGAGGAGCCGCGCACATGAGTTGTGGTGGTCGGGGAAGGAGTCTCTGAGAAAGAGAGCAGTGTCTTCAACTCCTCCATCTTCTGATGCTTGTGAGTTGGGCTGAGACCCCAGCCCATTGGCTCTCAGGTGTGTGGAGAGAGACAGAGTCATGGGTGCTGGAGGAAACCTTGAAGGGATCATTTGTCAACATTTGTTCTTCCCCTTCTGGGAGCTGCTGTCTACATGGAGATGTCAGGTGACTTGCCTGGATTTTCTGGGTGACTGTAGGGCAGAGCTGAGGCTTCAGTCCTGGTCTTGACTCCTGCAGTGCTCTTTCCACTCCCCTGCTCTGCAGCGTGCACACACGGTCTCTGTGGCTTGTGCACGCAGCTACTCTCCCACCTTCTCTGCGGCTGTACTCGGCATGGCTGTGTACAGCAGGATGCTTCCTCAAGGTGCAGAGGGGCAGGGCTTCCTGCTGGGAAAGCAGTGTGGAGGCTGAGACTCAAAGGGAGTAGAGCAGTAGTGACAGGCTGTTATTGAGGTCCCCAGTTCCCAGGTCCAGGGGCCAGCTGGATCAGAACCACCCTAGGGCCTTTGTTAAAATTACAGCCCTCTTGAAACAGATCTTCAGAAGTGGGCTCAAGAGTGTAATTCTGGCAAGTAAGTGGCTTGTGCTTCTGTCAAGCCAGGGTTTGGAATCACCAGTGTAGAGTGGTGTGACTTTTCACAGGAGACTGCAGGGGAGGCCCTCCCACGGGAAGGTGGCCGGCCTGCCCAGATCCCTGTGGGGGTCTAGGCCTCCGTCTCAGTGCTTTGCTGGTGGGGAGGGCGTGCGGGCCGGTTGCTGCAGGCTGTCAGGGGTCCTGCATGCATCCCGTCAGCAGCCCGCGGCGCCTGCGGTGTTCGCAGGGTGAATTCTAGAGCAAGTGAAGGAGACCTTCTAGGCAGTTCTCGAGGAAAGAACATAGGGTCTGGGGCCAGAAAACGTAGGCCTACCACATTCTTCCCCTGCTGGCTGTGGAAACACAGACAAGGTGTGGCGAGTCTCATTTTTCCTCAATCTGTACGGTACTTCAGGTGACTGAGGTTTCTTCCATCACTGAGATTTCTGTTCTAGATATTAACTCATTTAACATTTACTAGACACCTGCCTTTTCCCCCCACTGACCTGTCCTGTATTCAGTTAGATGTTCTTTCTGGATGCTCTTGCCACATTCCTCCTATTGAAGGAAAGCACTGCCCTCTGTCCTTGGAGCCTGTCCTGTGTCCTGACAGGAATCAGTGGGATGGTGGCACACGTGTCTGCTCTGTGCCAGGCCCTGGGATGTGGAGAAGGATGAAGGATCTGCTTCCTCCCTTCCAGCATTTTCTAGTATGGGGCCTACGTGTGTGAAGTGGGGTGGTTCTAGAACTCTAGTGCCAGAACTCTCGGGAGCACATGGGGGTCATCGAGAGAGCTTTCGTAGACTATGCAAGTTTGGGTCTCAGCCCTGGGATTTCTGAATGTTTAGGTCTGAGCAGGGTGAGATGGGATCGGGGAAACTCAGGCATTTGGATTTAAACAAAACTGGTGATTCTGGTTTGCAGCCAGAGTTGGGAATCACCTTTTCACCCATTTGTCACTCAAAAGCTTGAGGACCTGGCAAATTCTCCTCCCTGAGTAGTCTGGGATACATTTGACCAAGTTTGTTCCAAAATTCCTAGACCTACCAGTTGTATCTTTTTTATTTTCTTTTTTTTTTCCCTTTAATTTTATTTCCTTTTTATTTCCTTTCCTTTTATGTTCTTTTTTTTTTTTTTTTTCCCCTACTAGTTATTTGATGAGGAGAATCCAGTCCACAAGTCTGGAACCAAATACATGTTTACAACTGAGGGACACATTGTATCTGTGGATAAACATCTTCGGGAATCACCCTGGAAGGAATTCTTTTCTGAAGACGGAGAGCAGGACCAAGAAGGGAAGTCTGTGCACAGGCCTAAGTCACCCGAGTTAAAAGTCATCAACTCCAGCTCCAACGTAAGTTGCTTTCTCCGGGGGGTGGGGAGGTTGGCATGTGGAGGAGGAGAAAAATAATGCAGACTTTTCATCCAGAGTCCCTGCTAGAAAATCAGTGGCACACTTAGACTGCATCACTGGAAAAGAGTTTCACAAAAGACCATTGACGTGGGTATCGTCAGGGTGTGGGGACCCACGGGAGCAGCGCCACTGTCCATCCTCACTGCAGCAGTTCGTGGTCACAGGAACATGGGTGGGCAGAGGCATGCAGGAGTGGGGGTTCCTGGCAGAAGCTGGCTCTGAGCTGGCTCCAGTGAGCTTGCAAGAAGGGAGCCAGCAGAGTAAAGACTTAACCATCCTTCTGCCCTCTTCTTTGTGGGAGCTTCCCATTGGTGATGCTTTCCAGAAGTCAGGGGCCACAGAGACCCTTTTGGTATAATCTATTAAATTGACCCCTGGGGCCAGAGAAGGATGGGGGAGGGGAGAGAGTGGATCTGGACGGACAGATGGAAGAGATCCAGCCAAATCACCCACCAGCAGGAGAGGGAGAAAGAGCAGTCATCAGTCATTGAGATTTTTAATGAAATGCTCTTGGAAGTACGGAAGAACTCCGTTTCGTTTAAAGCAGGGTTTCACTGAGCATGTCTCAACCATCCTAATAATCCCTGATAATCTGGGAAAGATTTGGAAACAAGCCCTGGAGTTTCTGGTAGGAGTCCTAGGTAGTTGTATTGATTTGAGTCAGGATGGTTTGGAAGTGAGGATGGGGAAGGAGACCTGTGTCAATTGAAATATCAAACCAGGTTATCCCACATGCATTGGATGGCGCCTCTCTGCTCAGAAAAAGCCTCTGTTGTCAAGATTCCTACCACCTCCTTCCAAACTGCCTTGGTTAGGGGACACCCCTTGGTCCCGGACTGTGCTTCAGTACTTGGCCTTCAGTCCCATTGACGGTCTTTACCATCAAGTCTGCGAACTACGTTGACAGACCAGAGCAGAATCGGTCCCCCAAATCTCCATAAGGCCATGCAGTGTAGACTAGGTGAACACAGCCTAACTGAGAAGGAAAGGGAAGGGAGAGAAGGGGAAAGAAAGAGTAATAACAGTTTTATATAACGCCTTCCATAGCCCAGGCCCCTTTTCCAACCGGTCATAATGCGTCAGTGTCTCACAGAGGCCCCGGGAGGGTAGGTGCCTTTGGTCTCATTTTACATGTGGGGAAAGGGAGGCACAGAGAGCCTCTGGTCATATGTTGGAGCCAGGAGCCGGACTGCAAGGAGACACTCCTCTTAGACCTGATCCTGTGCCTGGCTCTGGCGATGTGGGTCCATCCGAGGGGTCTCATGGGGAGACCGGCTCCTCCCCGGGTGTTCGGCAGTGAGGCGCTGCCTGAAGAGCTGCCTAAGCATGGAGGAGGGCGTAGCTGATCTGCCCTGGAGAGTACCGAGGGCTTCATTGCAGAGGTCACTTTTCAGAAGATCTGTGAGCAATGGGGGGAGCTTCCAGGAAGGGCTGTTCAGGCAGCAGGACCCGACCTCCAAGTGCATGGCTGTGCAACGTTTGGGATGAGCTGAAGGACCTGTTGGACTTGATCTCATGAGGAGGAGGAGCGGGGCCTAGTGAGTTCAGTAGTGGGGCCGAGCAGTGGGAACCTGTGTCTTTGGGGGCAAGCGTGTCATGAGTGTATGTGGAAACTGTTGGCAGATAAACACTTTTGGTTCTCAAACTTGCATCTCCTTTGAGCGGGGGAAAGGGGCTTTTCCTTAAAACAAGAAAGCTCTGTGAAGCATTTAGGTTTTAGCTGTGGATGGGAAGAACTCTAAACTCAGGAAAAACCACAGTGCAGTTGACGCTTGAGCAATGCAGGTCTGATGTGCATGCAGGTGTTTTTTGATAAATACATTGGAGTCCTGTAAATACATTTTCTCTTCCTTATGATTTTCTTAATAACACTATTCTCTCTAACCGACTCTATTGTAAGAATATATTGTCTAATACATGCAGCATACAGAATTCAAGTTAACCGACTGTTGATGTTCTTGGTACGGCTTCCAGTCAGCAGTAGGCCGTCAGTAGTTCTGAGGGACTCACGAGCAGTATGTGGGCTTTCAACTGCACCAAACCCTCCATTGTTCAAAGTCCAGCTATATTTTCATTCTTTTTTTTTTTTTTAAGATTTTTCTTTATTTATTTGAGTGAGAGAGAGAGAGAGAGAGGCACACGTGGGGGAAGGGCAGAGGCAGAGGGAGAAGCAGGCTCCCCGCCGAGCAGGGAGCCCGACGTGGGGCTTGATCCCAGACTCTGGAAATCACTACCTGGGCCGAAGGCAGATGCTTAACCGACTGAGCCACCCAGGTGCCCCAGCCAGCTGTATTTTCAAATAGCTCAGGTGTTTCTGAAATTCTGGGGGGACTAGGATAAGGACCCAAGGGATGAGTTTTTCGTCCTGGTCACTCTCCCCTTGGGTGAATATCTTTTAGCCTCCCTGGGTCTCCGTTTCTTCCCCTGAAGTGAAGGTATTGAATGACGTCTGTGGTCCCCAGCTGGGGGTGGTTTCCTCCTCAAAGAACATTGAGCAATGTGAGGAGGCAATCTTGCTTGTCACGACTGGGGGAGTGGGGGTGAGGGGGCACCTACGGGAGAGGCCAGGGATGCTGCTGAGCCTCCTGCAGTGCCCGGTGGAGAAACCACAGTTTATTCTCTTAGCAAGTAATACTTGGATTTTTAACTCAGAGTACATTTTCCCCCCTGGCTTTTTTTCTTCCTAGTGCAATCGTGTTCCTGACGAGAGGAGATACTCGCTGCCCTTAAAGAGCGTCTACATGCGGCAGATCGACCAGATGGTTGGCTTGATTTGACCCTCCTCTGTGCGGCCTCCGCTGAGACTGGCTGGAGGCAGCTGAGACCGCGTTGTGCAGAGGTCCAGTCTGAAGTGGAGGACGGTGGACGTCGGGCCATCCGTGATGGTGTGGGGATTTCTGTCCAGCTCCTCACGCACGTCTAGCAGAGTCTTGCATACAGTAGTGTTTCTCTTCTATTCAATAAAATGTCCTGTTTTTCTTAATGGTAAAATTTGAAGTAAGAAGGTGCGTAGACGTTGGCCTCCTAGGACATGCTGATTTTATAAGCACAGTGTGGATGGGGCATCTTCAGATGGACTTTCATGGCTTCCCACTTTGGAATCCAACAAGTGTGTTCCAGTCTCCAGCACTTGCTGTGACTGCAGTATTGCTACCTCTCTGTTAGAGGACTGTGAACGAAATTTCCGTGTAAAGGGCCTGAGGTTCATCCCTATTTATTGCATTTTGTTATCTTTCTCTCTTATTAGATGATTGGCTCTCCTTCCACCCATTATTTTGGATCACAGTGGGGGAAATCATACTGTTTTTCATTTGCATCCCACATAATTGTCACAGTATTACAAGTTAATTGCTTATGAATAACTTTTACCTGAATCTCAAAAGGCAGTCTTTTAGGTTGTCACACAGCTAGATCTTTTAGATGGTATATTACATTTAATCTGAACTTACCTGAGGAACTCCCATAGTGCCAGAACCAGGTGCCTTTTAGGGAGAGAAAAATACCTAAGAATGTCTGAGCTTCCATCTTTCTCATACCTACTAACCAAGGATTCTCAATTCTGACCGTGTTTGAGTTAGAATTTTGTTTTGTTTTTGTTTTCTCTGTCCAGTGCCAATTAGCTAAGTCAGGGAGAAAGAAATGATCAGATGACTCTCTGGCATCCCCGAGCTGTTTTTCTGTACTACAGTCTTTAGCTTAGTGCCTTATGGGATTTTGGTTGGGGCTGCTGCTTGTCACAGCTGCGGCTCTGGTTTTAGCAGCCTTGTTTTGTGTTGTCACAGGGTGGGACCACAGTGAAAAAGGGGAAGGGATGAGTATCAGTAAGATTCTGGAAAATTCTTGGTCAGTCCTTGCCTTTCAGCCTGATATTTTAAGCAAACCTACATTAGGAGGAAGTTGCGCCACATTGTCTTCTTTCTTTGTTGTTATTTTCTTAGCCAGAACAGAGCATCTCTGTTTGAACTTAGACTGAATGCTCCTACAGAGCAGAGGTGGACGTGAACCCTTAGCCTGGCTTCCATAGAACGTCTGAGGTTGAAATGAATCCTGGTACAAAGGGTAGAAGTCTTTTAAGAACCTCCGATCTCACCTGTCGTTACTTGCACAGCCTTACCGTGCTTACCTGTCTCTCCTTGCACACTTCAAATGATTTCCTCTTCATCTTCTTAAAACCAGAAATGTGGTCTGAGCCATTGTATACCAATCAAAGGGAGAAGTTTTATTCCTTCTTGAAAATTTCAGTGTTACTGTGTTTTTTTTTTTCTTTCTTTTTTTTAAATAGATACAGAATTCAGTTCTTGGAGAGTTTTGAAAAAGGGATTTTCACCTCTGTCTTTTTAAATATTTACTATGCAAATTGTTATAAACAAAGTCATATGCTCTGTTTTACCTTTTCTCTTCATTTCAGAAGCATTCTCTTTATCAACCTTGTGTCATCTCCTGAACAGAACATATTCTTTGAGAACACTACATATTTTAGGTGTTCTTGTTGTCTTAGTTAAATCAGAATGTTCCATTTGACATACCCACGTGCACACAGGCACAGCGTCCCTGGATCTTTTCTCCAGGCAAACTGAGTCGGGACTATAAGTGTCCCTTTTGGGGGGATAGGGTATGTCAGGGAAGAAATTGGGTCCTCAGGGCAACAGTTCTCTCTCTCGTGGCCCTGCTGGGTTCCCTCTCCAGCTTCTGGGATAACATCGATGTGTAGCATTCCAACACCATCTTCTCATCTGGGACCTTAACATGTCTCCCACTCTGGCATTCCATCCCTCTTATGCTCAGGAGTAGGGACCTGTGCCTCAGGGCCACTAATGTACGCCAGGGGCCATAGGCTGGGGTAAGATCTGTTTTGTATGAAGTCTCAAACCCCCTTGATTGCTGGGCATTGATGTGTACCAGTTGGTGAGACCGAGGGTGAAGGCATTACTGCACGCTAATCCTGGTGGTTAACCTTCCAGACTACCCCGTCTAAAGTTGGAGGCTGCCCGGGATCTGTAGGGCTAGAGGCAGAATACTGTCTAGTGCCAGTCATGAAACGAGGGATCTTTGAGCCAAGTTCAAAGCTTGCTTGTTTTCTTTTTGGAAATCAGAATGTCAACAACTGTGTTATATCTTGCAGGGCTTTTGCTGTTTTCTTTTGTTCTGTGTTGCAGGATACCCGGTGGGGGAGGGCCACGGAGGGGAGTTGCTAAAGAGATTCCCGGGCTCCGTGCTTTGCCCCAGTTCTGCCCTGATTGTGAACAGATGTCATCCTTTGGAACAGCTGTGAGCCCGCACCGTCCTCAAGTTCCCCTAGGTAGTTAGTTAGTGTCTGGAGTCTGGTAGACCCGAGGAATACAGTTTTGCAAAACTCTTCCAGAAAGCTGCCCTGTTAGGCCAGGCTGTCTTCATCTCCTGCCACAGGATTCTCTGTTGGTACGGGGCGGGCTTTGCTGCTTTCAGTGATGTGACTCAGGAGCTCCATTTCCAGAATAGTAGGTGACAGAGGAAGTGTTGGCTGGCTTCCAGCTCTGCTGGCCTTTGTGAGGAACCAGCTTCCATGTTCATGTGCTTTCCTGCAGTTTGTTCTAGCTCTTCTACCTGAATTTAGTCTGTGTCTCCTCATCCCAGGTTCTTTGTCCTGGATTGGTGGGGCAGGCACATGTCACTAAAGTCATTGTGTGTTTCTGCACCAGGGTGGTGTCTGTGCAGGTGAATTTTAGAGGAGGCTCTGTGTGCAACCCGAGGGCTTGAAAGTGGCTCCCCTTCCGTCCCTCCCCTCCCCCACCAAAGAAAAATACCCTCTTAGCCATTTCCTTAGCTCAGTTTATTGAATGATTGCAGACTGTAATTCTTTTCTTTGGATCTTGTGGACTGAACATCAGACATCCTTTTCTTCTCTCTGTAGGGCTCCAGAGGTCTTTCTCTTTTGACACTTTCAAATTTAATGCTGGTGAAAAGGTAGGGCTGAATGATTGCTCTAACCAGAGTACCTGAGCAGGGACTTCTGAAGAAAACCTTGGTCTTTTCTTTTCCATTCCCAGACATCCAGCTCCTTCTCTAGTGCCTCTTCCCTGCAGGGCAGGGACCCTTGTGAAAGAGGGAAGGTGGGCTGGCTGGGTGTGTCCCAGGTTTTGCAGGGCTCAGGGTTCTGTTCCTGCTGGAGTTTGGATGTGAATCCGGGAAAAAGTACCTGTGGACCTTCCTGATTCATTATACCCCCTTTCCCTCTTTCTGAGAGGCAGAGAAATAATATTTTTAAAAGGTATTTTGTTTTAGTTTTAAATAGCAAAACACAAGCTGCATTTTTATTTATTATGCACAAGAAAGGTAAATCTGTTTTTACAAAAAAATCTGGAGTTGGAAACTCTGGGAAAACCTATTGAGATACACACATGCTTCTCTCTCTGTAATGTGCAATATGCTTTGCAACTATAGATGATATTTTATGTTTAATCTGTAAATAAGAAATGTATTTAAATTAAGAGGGAGCTTTTTGTAAAAGGACCAAATGTTCTTTTATAAATGTACTAAGAAATATCTTGTTCTTTGAAATTTATTAGGATTTTTATGAGTAATTTTTATTAAAAGATTTTTTTTTGAATTGTCATTTTGTTTCTCCTTTATATACTCATATATATATATATATATATATATATATATATATATATATATAAACAAGGGGGAAAACCCTTTAAAGGAAATTATAAAACTAGACAAATAAAAACTTTATTTGTGGGTTTGGTTTTTTGTTTTTTGTTTTTTGTTTTTTACAGCTGAGCCCTGAGTAATACTACCCCATTTTTGTCTGTCACACCTCCCGTTGAACTGTCCTTGCTATGTGGCTGAGAGTAACGATTTTCATCTTGTCCCTCCCCTCCTCCCTGCAGCAGCCTCCTTTCTCCCAGGCACTGACTTGTTCATTCACAGTTCTTGTTGCCATTTATCTGAGTCTCTCTAGGTTCTGGAACCCATTCTCCGTTATCTTAGCAAGGTGGTTCATTTCTCCTGACCTCTTGCAGGCTAAGTGGGGGTAATAGTTCATGAGGTCCGCTTGGGGTGCACTGGTCTGGGGGAGGCATGAGCCAGGAGGGTTTGAAGTGGGATGGCTTCCATCCCTACTGCTACCTGAGTTGTGATGGAACGTGGAAGAAGATGGCTGATTCTGCCCCTGTGACACCTTGGTGTCCCACCTTTGTGTTCCAGGCAGTTCTAACGGGGCTTTTAAAAAACTGAATTGCAGCAAGGAGAAGGAGGGAGCCCTGCGATCAGAAGTACCTTGCTGGTTGTAAAGCACACTGGCCTGGGGTGCTGGGGTGAAGGGTCTAACCCTTGATCTCAGCTCAGGTCTTAATCTCAGGGTGTGAGTTCAAGTCCCATATTGGGCTCCACACTGGGTGTGGAGCTTACTTAAAAAAAAAAGGAAAAAGTACACTGCCCCTTTGTAAGGGTTGTTGGTGGTGTGTTTATGAAGCCTTACGGGTTTGTAACCCTCCTGACAAGATCAGGCAGGGTCCCTATGCCACAGGGTCAGCTGAAGAGCCTCAAGAGGGGGAGCACCAGTGTCCTCGGTCAGCCGTGGTGAGTGTCCTAGAGCTTCCTTCCAGACATTGCAGGGGAGCACGAGGGCTGAGGGGGCCTCTGGATCCATACTGTGTGAGGTACAGTCCTAACTCTACTGATGAGCCTTGCACCAAGTTATTACAAGGTACACAATCTTGTGGGGCCTCAGTTTCCCCATCTCTTATATAGAATGATAGCTGCAGTCCATATGCATAAGGTGGATGGAATGGATTAAAAGGCATACCGTGCTGAAAATGGCACCTGGCGCGTAGTAGCCCTGTGTGTGCATTTCCTGTAATTAGGGCCAAGTTGGCTTTGATTCCCAGAATAAGCTGTAGGATTTTTACATGGACCCTGAGGAGGGATAAGAACTTGGACTGGCACGAAGAGGCTTGGGCCTAGCCCAGGCTGGTTCTTCTGGATCAGCAGCTTGGATCAGGGTCTCACATTGTTTGTAAAGCCAGATACTAGCACCTTAACTCGCAGGGTTCTTGTGAGAGCAGAATGAGCTCCATTTTACCAGAGCCTTGTGGGTGCCAGCAGCTGACAGCTTCACATCAAAATTTAATCGGAAATACACAGCTGGGTTTTTTTTAATAGTATGTTCTTTTTTGTTTTTTCATTTTTTTTAAATTTACAATCAATTAATTAACATAATATTAGTTTCAGAGGGAGAGATCAGTGATTGATCAGTCTTATATAATACCCAGTGCTCATTACATGATGTGCCCTCCTTAATGCTCAGATACCCCAGCACCCCCCCTCCACTAGCAACCCTGTTTGTTTCCTATGGTTAAGAGTCTCTTATGGCTTATCTCCCTCCTGGTTTTATCTTATTTTATATTTTCCTCTCTTCCCTTATGATATTCTTTTTTGTTTCTTAAATTCCACATCTGAGTGAAATCATGTGATGATTGTCTTTCTCTGATTGACTTAGTTTGCTTAGCATAATACCCTCTAGTTCCATCCATGTTGTTGGAAATGGCAAGATTTCATTTTTTTGATGGCTGAGTAGTAGTCCATTATATATATGTATATATACCACATCGTTATCTATTCATCTGTCAATGGGAATCTGGACTCTTTCCACAGTTTGGCAATTGTGGACATTGCTGCTATAAACATTGGGGTGCAGGTGCCCCTTCAGATCACATTTGTATCTTTAGGGTAAATACCTAGTAGTGCCATTGCTGAGCTGTAGGGTAGCTCTATTTTCAACTTTTTTGAGGACCCTCCATGCTGTTTTCCAGAGTTGCTGCACCAGCTTACATTCCCACCAACAGAATACTTTGCTGTTCTGTCCATCTTAGGATGTCAGAATGTGAGGTGCAGGGTGGTTAGGGGTGAGGCCTGTGCCCCACACTCCCCAGGGAGTTGTGGGCAAGTGCCTGGCACAGTCTGCTCCTCACACAAACAGGCCTCCAAATGTGTGTGTGTGCACATGTGTGTGCATACACATGTGGCCTAAAGCCTACCGTATTCAAGCCTCATCAAAATTCTGGGAGGTCAGTTTTGTTATTCCATTTCTACAGCTGAGGACACTGGAAGGTAAGCATCTCTGCCCTAGGTCACAGCTGAACCACTCTGAACCCATGACCTCAAGTTCTCCTAAGTACCAAAATGAATAGTTTGGCTCTAGTTCCAGGATGGAGAGAAGGGGTTCTTTGCTGTAGGGAATATCCTGGGCCATTCCAGAGGGATATTGCTCAATCCTTGGTCTGAGACCTCAGTGGA